GACGAAGGCAAAGGAGGCAAACGACTCATTTGAAATTCATGCGGCTACTCACTGGGTGCATAAAGCAATCAAATCAACCACAAAACTCCATCTTCACACACTCACTCACACATATACTTAGGGGTTTTCTTGCTCTTCTTCGTGAGATGCCTTGCCCTTTTCGACTTTCTCGCTTTTTTTTTTTGCCTTTGCTTTTGTTTTTTTTTAACATTTCTTTCTTGGCTTATACACGTTTCACTCGTGTAAATAATAAATAAGCTAAGCAGACTTTTGTGGCGTGCAAAACGTTTCACTTGCCTCTCTCTCACCTCCAGAGATCGGAGGATGTGGTGGCCTAAACGAGGCTATCGATTCCAAATCTCAACCAAAAGTCAAAGACGAGAAGCTTAAGCAAAAGCGAAAGTTTGCCACTTGCTCAACCCTTTGCAACGCCTCCTTAGCCCTCATTTCAACCCCCCCACCCATGATTTATGCATGACCCAGAGGAGGTCGACCTAAACAGGGATGTTGTGTGGGGGTTAAAAGGAAGGGGAAAGGAGAAGGAAGAAAGAGGAGTTGGCCAAAGCTGTTCCAGATTTGCATGCGAATTGTCCAAGTTGGATTCGTTGGCTTTGGGGCAGATTTGGAACTGGGCTTACCAGTAAATACTTTGTTCCAATTCTTCAGGGCTCTGTTGTGCGAACGTAGTGGGTATTTAACAACACTCGCCTGGATTTTAAAGTCTTATTTCACAAGCAAAACAGCTCTACTTACTATTTTTACATAAGTTAACTTAGTTTTTGAAAAAGTGAATATACTGGGGCGAAGAGTATAAATAGTATTGTATTATTTACGCGATTAGTGTATTCTGTCCAGTTACAAGATCGCTACGAAGGTACTTTAGAAACAAACATAGATGATAATTGTAGCTTGTGTTATTTGGCGACTTTACTATGGAGACCAATTCCATCCGTTGGATTTGTGTATATCTACTGGTATCTATATTTTAATATCACCAGTAAATTATTGATTTCGGAACAGCTCTTCTTTAAATCTTTGAAATCGCGCTTCAGTTTGTAATCCTCACACATTATTTTCCCTTTTACTATTGCCGTTCTGCTGGTGGATATTTCGAACCCAATTAGCGAATTTCCCACTGCCTGGTCAAATTATGCTAAACTTCTCTCTTTTCCTCCTTTTCCCTCCGATGCACCCGATTCCTTTGTCTGTGTCAAATCAATTAGGAAGTGCAATTAATTAAGCGCAATGCACGAAAATAAAAACTCCGAAAGAGGAGAGAAAATCACAGAAGCATGGAGAACAAGAGAATCTAGCTTTGGTCAGCTGGGCGGAAAAGGTGGGAAATGCAGCATAGAAAATCACAGAACCAGCACACAGCAATTTGTCTTTTCCATCAATTATTTAGACACAGCAGCAAATAATGATGATGATGGCAGAAGGGCAAGCATAATAATGAAAGTTGGTAGGGAAAATCGTAGGAGGGAAAACGTGGGTAGTGAAACAAGAGTTTCAGCCATTGCCAGTTGGCAGTTAATTAATTGAATCCCATTCAGTAAGGTGTTGCAACAGACTGCAATTGCAGCAAAACTTTTTCCCCAACTGAAAGAAAAGGTGGAAGTGTGCGGGGTCAAGTTGCGTAACAAGTTTGGCGCATAAAGTCATTAAAGTTTTCTGATTCGATTTGGCGTCTTATCCCTTTCATCCGTTTCCCATTTTTTGACTTCCTGGCGCGCGCAACTTTCTAAGCTTACAAATTAATGACGCCCTAAAGTGTGCTATCGAAAAGGGGTTGCAAAAGTTTGGCAAAGAGGTGGGAGCCATAAAAATATCGCTATACCTTAAACAGGGAAAATTGTAAAGGGTTTCGCTTATTTGTTATGCATTATTTATGATTTCCCCGATTAGTCCCGACAGAGCAGCAAGAGCAGGAATAATGGGGAGAAGTGGGAAATCGATTGCTCAGCGGAAAGCATTTAAAAATATATTGTCAACAGAATGCGGGTTGTCCTTCCATTTACCTACCCCCATTTTCCCCCAAACATACGCTTAGCTAGCGAAAATTTCTCGCCAAAGGGGATTGGAAATGATTGTGTCTGTAAATGTGGGTTTCTAGCACTCTTATCAGTCAAAAACCAGCAACACCATTTACAGACTCCACAGTCGAGCTACAGAGAGTACATCACCAAACCTGGAAATGAGAAATTAAATAACCTAAACGTACATTATTTAAGATAGATTAACTATCAACTTCTTAAAGTATGTATGAAAAATAAAAAAGGTTCTTGATAATAGTGTAGAAGCTCACTTCTTTATTGAACATTATTGAAGTGCTCATTGATCAAGGAAAATTGTAGTCCCATAAACAATTTGCAGAGTGGTCAGTAAGTAGGTTTCTTTCTGGAATTGCTCATTTTAGTTCTGTAAGCCAAGCAAATTAAGTTTGACTTATTTTATGATTGCATTAAAGGGGCTGGGTGAAAAATACTTGGAGCTGTCACTACAACTCGACTTCACCCCCGGTTTTCTCCGTGCTCCATTAATTTAGCAACGTAAAACCAACGCACACACAATCCCCTCTTCATCCCCTTTTGATCCCCTTTTCAGTGCGTCTCTGCCACGCCCCTTTGATTGGTCACGTGCCTTGCACAGGTCACCCCCCTGCCTACGCCCATGCCCTTCCCCTTCCGGCTTTTGGCTTCAGTTCGTTTTGATTGCTTTGTATCGATTACAAAATGCATTACAACATTTGCCACATGATAAATAACACTCTGGAAATGGGTGGTGCTGTTTCAATGGGCGGTGGTTGGGGTGGGCGTGGTTGCACTTGAAATTAATGCCTACGATACAGTAACTGCGATGGCAGAAGAGTGGTTCATCTTCGGTACAGTGTCTACTTCATTTTTTTAAGCTTTGGCTTTCTGTCCTTCCCAATTTTGTTTACTACCTTCGTTTGCTACAGTTGCAAATTCTTTAAATGGTTGTTTATAGTTACTGTTTCTTTACTATTGCTATATTCCTAGACCTGGTTCAGTGTGACCATGCGTCATTAAACTACTAAACCACACTGCTTGCCAGTGCAACACCCCCATTTAACCCTCTGTGGACGTTGCAAGGACATTAACCCACACGTGCCTGAAACTTAGCTAGCTATTCTTTCTATTGCTATTCCTTGAAAGAAATAAAATGCAATTGCGTGATTATTGAACGATTTGTATCAATTTACAAGAGCAAAGGCACAAAGGCTTTGTGGGGGGGGGGAGGTTGAGAAACGACCGTTGGTTCAGTTCACAAATGTTTATTTATGCATTTCACTTGCTTATGTTATTACAACTCCTCTCCGGGTTTTGGGGACGAGGGGAATGATTATTGATATCTGTATCCATACATGTTCACCCCTCACCGCCAACCGTCTCCCCCAAATACAAACTTATGGCAAACACAAACCTCCGGGGAGGATTGCAGCTCAAGACATTTGTCGCAACGTGCGAAAACTTTTCCGCACAACTGTCGTTCCCCCTTCTTCATACACTTGTTAGCTACTCAAGTTTATTAAAGTGGCATAAAAGTGTCTTTGGCGTCTAATTGATAACGATTAGTCGGAACGGAGCCCCAGAACGACTCCAAAACTAAGTCCCAACTCTTCAAAAAAAAAAAGTGTAATTGAATGGAGGCCATTCCAATTGAAGAGCCGTTAGTCCATACAATTACTCCAAAAGTTGAGGTATTGAAAGCTGGTTTAATTTTAAACAAACAGTTTGGAGTCTTTGCCTTGTAATATGACTTATAACGTTTACAGCAATTTACAAGTAAGCCCAGGACTCATCCTTCATTAACTCTAACTCTACATGCTCCGCCATACGCTCTCGAGAATAATTGTTATGTTAGTTTTACAGCTTATCGAATGTGCTCTGTTCGATACAGCAATTTATCGATATTAAACTTGGCTTCTTTAATGGCTCGAGAAGAAAAGTTCTCTCGGGGTTATGGGTTCCAGGCTACGGGGAAAAGTTATTGAAAAGTCATAAAAAGCATAAAATACAAAAATGGCTGGTGGAAAAGCTAAGGAGCTGAAAGGACATAAACTGGAAAAGCCACGAAATTGTTTTCCCCGTTCGCCGTAGCACCACCCTTTTTTGTAAATCATTTAACACGCTCTCGATTTTTATTTTAATGACATCTTGGCTTGGCAAAGTTGGCCCTAATGGCTTAGGTCGGAGCACTTTGGCAGGGTCATAATGGAGCCTTGCAGATAGATTGGGGTCCTTAAACTCCTTCCCCATCGAAAACCCTTGGAGGCTGTGCAAATTTGTTCGCAGGCGTCGAAGGCTGCTCCTGGACTGCATATCCTGTAAACTACTGCTGTGTTCCCTGTGTGTTAATGATCATCATGAATATTCCGACATTGTTTGTTTGTTTGCCTTCGCCAGTTTGCTCAGCCAAAAGGTTAATATATGCCCAGCCAAAAACTAAACTAAACCCTGCGGCATTCACACAGTGAGAACGAGAAAGAGGTAGAGGTCCTGCTAAATATTTGATTAACTTTCCCGTGTGTGTGCGGAATCAACTTAATTAAAGTTAAACAAGCAGCTAATCAAATTTTTATTACACAGTCTTAGCCACAAGGATTCCTTTACCTCTAGGTCCGCAAAACGTGGCGTAATTTCATTTTAAAAATGCATACTCCAAAGGGGGCCACGTGTTTGTGCAACTCGCAGAGGAGCACACGGCCAAAGGATTGTCTCCCTGCATTTTTCCTCTTTATTTCGTATGTGTGCACAAGGCCAGAGAATTTCCTCGGTGGGTAGAAAAAAGGCGGAAGTGGTTCAATCTGCCGAGTGAACAGGGAAAAATAGTTTCCATTTTCGTGTGTATTAAAAAGAGATCCAAGCTGAATCCTTACGAGCTGAAGTAGTTTTATGATAATAATACAAATCAATGAGCAAGTCTTGAAAGGATTTTTCAAATAAACAAAGCTTTATGAAAACTAGAAAGACATACAATTCGATTTAAAAATAAGTCTCTTTTAATGTTCGTGAGGGTATTAATTCGTTCTTCATGGGGGTTCGAAATCAGGATACTCTCGAGGAGTAGCCGCCCAAAACTTGGTCGCCCACGGAGGACCCTTTGAGCCACCAGGCTGTCCACCTCGATGGCATGCGATCCTCATTGGCGTCCACGTCGTAGAGCTCCTCCTCGGCGGCCCAGGAGCTCAATGTGCTCGATGTGGCGATCCTGGGCGGCAGGGCCATCAGACTGGGACTCATGCTGGGCAGCGATGGCTGGCTGGTGGTCACCTGGCAGGACGAGGAGGGCGACAGCTCGTTCAGCTGGATGTCCGAGTGGTAGTTCTTCGGCTGGTGCTGCAAGTGCTGCTCCTGCTGCTGCTGTTTTCTTTGCTTCTGGCAGGGCTTCGGGGAGGAGCTGCCACAGCACCCAAGCGAAAGGATAAGGCACATGATTTTGCAAGGAGAAATGCTAAGGAGAAATGCGAAACGTACAATCAAATCTAAGGTATTTCATCAAAAATCAAAGAAAGGGTAGTCATATCAAAGTTTTTTTTTTTTTTTGTGCAAACCAAAAGAAAAGGTTTTTTCTAAATATTTAATATGATCAAAGACAAATGTCTGTTTGCGGACCTGTTCCCTATTATTTATTTTGATTCACCCACGGCTTCTCGCTGGGAGCCTCCAACTGAGGTAATGCACCCCAGAACTGTTTGCTTTTATAGCCGGCAAGTGCGAACACCTGCTCACAAGAGTCCAGTGTGTGGGTACAGTTGTGTTCAATGGAATCCCGATAGACCAGCGTCATCAAGGCCCTCAAATTCCCCCCCAAACAACTGTTTTTGGAGCCTCATTATGCAAAATGATGTCACTTATGTTAATTTCAAAAATGCACTAGACTGCGTTCAGTATATGGTGCATATATTATCGGGATTATCGGTTGGCAGTGGGTGGAGGGGGTTAGAACGTCAGGCCGACGACTACCACCTATTGTATTACCAATTTGCGAATGCAAATCAGAAGCAGAGCGCAAATTTCACACCAGTTTCGGATTAAATTTAAAGAGCTTGACATGCGACGCTCACATCAAAGTCGATAATGATGATGATGATGGTTGTGAAAGAGGAGCAGGATGTGTGGCGAGGACCTCGATGACATCTTCGATGACAACACCGGAGTTTCTCTTATTCGTGGATCCGGCCACTGGGATAGTATCCTGCACCAAATCCGGCTGTAGATGCACATCTGCGCAAATGTTAAACTCCTCCAAACGAGAGGGGGAATGGGAGGCCCTTCGATGGTCGAGACTCCTATGATTACTGCTCCTGCTAGGACACTCCTTTGAGGCAATCTGGGTCACCACCACTGCCGACTGCTGCTGCTGATCCAGCAATTGATCGGCGAAGGTCTGGCGATCATCGTCGCGCTGCTTTTGGCAGAAGACCAACATTAGACATCCGCCCAAACTAAGCATGATTCCGCAATTCCCAAAGGTCCGGAACTCCAGGGAGGCCTTTATAGGCCCAAATTCTCAGATCGATTGGTGAGTTTTCGTATGCCAGCTGGCGGCTGTTTGCTTATCCGACTTTTCGGAGAAGTTGGGACCAGCCTCCACCGCCTCCGCCTCCATTAACTTCAATTTCAATTAGCATTGCATACTTCCCAACGGATCCCTGACCAAAAAGTTTCTCCACTAATGAGTTTTGTAATTATACGAAAGTTGAAGCTGAATACAAAAGCCGAAAGCAGCGGATGGCCGGAGGCTTGATTTTAAATTTATACTTTCTTGAAAGATTTACGCGGGCTGAGAAATTGTAAAGCGATAATTGCTCACGGGGTGTGGAGGAAAATGAGCAAAGTATAATATAATAGAACCAAGTTTTCAATGCAAAGCAGTTTGCCATAATGATAAACCAACAGTCGGTGCTAATTTACAGCTTATAAATGTATTTCAGGATTGGTTAGGAATCATAATTTTGTTTAAAGCCTTCGAAGTAAAGTAGTTGTTTCATTATTCAAATATATATATATTAATGGGTACGTTTAAAAAAATAATCTACATTTTTAAATGTATAGATTTTAGATTATCTAATATATTTTATTAAAACATAAATACAACTACATAGACTTCCATTTTATGCTTGAAATAGCCGGATTTAGCCACAGCTTTCCCAATATAAATGTTTACTTTCCGGGTTTTTCCACATTGCCCCGCTTTGGTGACTATGGCAAACTAGAAAAATATCAATGTCATTCGCAGGCCCTTGGCTGAAATTGGGGGTTGTTGTTGGAAAATGGTAAATGGGAAAGGCACTGTCCGTCCAAAAAAGAGGGAAAAGCAATGCAAAGCCGGGGGGAAAACGGGCTTTGTTACTCTTGTAATGTTAGATGTGTTGTGTCTGTTCTGGTGGGGAGTTGGGATACCAGGTTCCGGCGCTCTGGGGTTCCGGGGATTGGAGTTTTCCCGCTTTCCCTTGGTCAGCCGCATCATTGCGGTTTCAGAACTGCATTTTTCGCTATTCCCATTTGGCGTATTTGTTTATGTCTGTGCGTGTGCTCGCCCGTATTTGGGGAGTTCTAGAATCTTTACCCAAAGGAGGGGAACACTAAAAGTGTGTTCTATTTACGAAAAATTTCAAATCTACAGAAATTTCAAAACTGAAGGTAGTTCAAATTTGGTATGATGCTATATTTTATATTTTATATTTTAAATTTTAATTTTTTTTTTTTTTTTTTTATGTCTGGCAGGGTATCAAACATTCCCATCATTTTGTTTTGGAAGCTCTTCTTTTTTATGCTGCTTATTTTTAGCTTGGTCCGTATATAGTTTGCACTGGTCTCGTGGTTCATGACAAGCCAAGCGCATAACCGCAAAACGGACGCGTAGAATAGTGAGCGTAAAAGGGGGTGGTGGGTTGGTGGTGGGTGGTGGGAGGTGGGAGGCTGGGCATATGGTGGCTCACGCAGTTCCATTTTCAATTTGCACTGCATGTTTTTCGGGGCTTTCTCGGTTTCTATGCCAATCTGCGTTTTTCATTCGCTCGCTTCAATCTCCTTTTTTATGCGCCCTGACGCCACACACCACCCACCACCCACCGCCCCCCCCTTTTCTCCTGAGCACCCTGACAACAATCCACCCCCTTTTTTGGTTGTTCGTCGCCCCCTTTTGCCCACTGCCCCCGTATTTTGCTTTTGTGGTCATGCCCACTTAATGCGTATTTAATTAACGTTAATTGAAATTGATTTATGTATGCAGCGTGCGTACACCCCCCTTCAAAATTTGCGGGGGGGCTTGAGAATCGGCAGAGATTCGAGGGTTGACGCAATTGACAAATTTTCGGCATATCGAAGCATGAAAAATTTTGCGTTTTTGGGTTCATTAAATTGATTAAACAAAATGCAAACAGACATTTTTGGGATTTTTCGCACGAAGGGATGAAATGGAGGAGGAAACGGAAATATGGTTGTATCAGTGCAAGGCGTAAAAAAGTAAAAAATCGTTTAAACGAGAAGGAATTTTTAGGTGAAGAATTGACCAAATTAATAACGAGAAATTTATTTGAATAAATTGATTAAAAGCATTGACTGCTTGAATAAATCAAAAATTTTACATTAATTAAAGCCTAAACAATTTTGGGAAGTATTACGCAAAGTTAGTCCCAATAAATGCGTTTTGAAGGAAAACACTCTTATATTTTAAACTTGTGCTTCCGCGAAAACTTTTTCACTCGCATTAAAAGTAATCCAATCAAACCTAGACGAAATGAAATGAAATATCCCTGATCTTATTTTCTCCCTAATTTTTTTGCCCTATTTTCCCACAAAAATTAATGAGCAGCAACAAAGAAAGTACGAGATCTGGGGGGAAAAAAAGAGAAAAAACATTCGATGCGTGTTGGCGCAATTTCCACGTCATTAATTTCTGTTTCTGCCACTTGGAAGAGCGCATCTACATCTGGTGCTTTTATGTTGATTTAATTAGAGAAGAAATCTTTCCCACTTTTAGATGCTTTCCCCTCTTTTTCGTCTTAGGGCCTTGGCTTTTATTGCATAATTTTAGGTGTGGAGCTGAAATCGAAAATTGATGAAATGCCGTGTGGCGGGGGGTTACAATCCGCAATACAGCAATACAGCAAAACAGCAAACAAAGAACAATAACAATAAAGCAAAAGAAAATAACGAAAATTCATCATAAACAGGGGAAACTGGGAAAACAGGGAAAGTCGCCCGGGGGAAAGTCCCGTCGAAGATCGTAAATTAGAAATGGCATTTTATGCGTGCGCAAATAAAAATGCTGTGTGTGCGGCAGCCATTTAGTGCATATCTTTTGGGTTCGGCGTAAAAAGTTTCCTTTTGCTCCTCGTAAAATTACTCATACGACTTGTTAACCGTTTCACCAGCTCACAAAGATACACATTGATTTTCCTGCCTCCGCTCATCTCGTCTTATTCTCTCCCTTTTTTCTTGTCTTTCAGGTGAGTCCTTTGGATCTTTTTCGGTTCGTAAGTCCTTGGAAATGTGAGACGAATGGTATTAAATTCTATTGATGAGAAATGAGGAGAAACCGGAGAAGGCACAAGGGTGAGCAAAAGGTTGGGGGCTTTCCGCTTTCGCGGGTATTAAATGTTCGCTTTGATTCAATGCGAGTGTAAACAAATGAGATTTTTTCGCTGCAAAAACTTTGACTCACTCAACTGAAAGTGGTTGGTCCATGCACTGTAATGGAAAATTATAGAATTGCAGCTTCTGAATTTTCGTTCGTTTTGAAATCAAATAAAATATCTGAAGGGAAATCCCCTTGCAAATGGGATTATAATTTTTAGATCAATATGGATGACTGAACTTTCCAAAAAAAGATATATAATATATAAATCTAAATTTAAAATTTTCTTTTTTATAGAAGTTAGAATTTATTCTGACAGATGCGAATAAACATTTTTTCCAGTGAAAGCTGCGTTCCTTTCGTTTCGTTTTTCCGGAGCCCCTCAAACCAAAGGAACAACAAAGGAATTTTCCTAATTATGCGTTCACCTGCACGTACACAAAAAGAAGTTGGGGTTAGGTGAATGAGGAGGAGGGTGTTGTAGCCAGCAAAATAGGAGATTTCCCACCCAACCCACACAAAATCTTTAGAAAGCCAAAACCAAATGGACCATGAAACAAAAATCGCACAACGATTTTTGGAAAACTTTAAATGCAAAGCAAAAAAAAAGGGCGGGGGTTTTAAAGTGGGCGTTTTGGGAGTGAAATGATGTTGAACTTTCTGCGATTAACAATTACAAAAACCAGCTGAAAGTCGCCAGAAAAACTGAAGCAAACTAAACTGAAGCAGGAGCTGAACTGGAGTTTCCTTTTTCATTCCGCATTCCAAACCACCCCCCAACCCCAACCCATCCCCACTTTTTTGGGTGGGTGGCGAGGGGGTGGTAGCATCCGCTACGTGAGTTTGCCATAAGCAATTTAGCTAATTTAGCTACAAAACAACAAGGACGTAACGGACTGAAGCAAAATAATCGAAGCGGAAGAATAACAAAACAAAAAGGATGCGAGAAATCTGGGGATGAAGGAAAAGTAGGTAGCAAAATAAATGTTAGGAATGCGAGTGAAAATAAAGTAGGGCCAAAAAGTTTAAGTAATACTAAGCTTTATTTAATAAGTTTTCTTTTA